GTGATGTTTTGGAAGACTATTGTGTTTCTCTAAGCAACAACTTGAGGGGAGGTTTCCCATGTGTGATACTATTTTTTTTTGTTTGTTTTTGCATGGTGCTTGTATGGTACATTATCACCAACATAACTCCATTAAAACACACACACACACAGACACACACACACACAGACACACAAACACACAGACACATAGACACACACAGACACACACACAGACACACACACACACACACACCAGTAGTATGATTGTAGATTTTAAACATCCCACTTTTCACTTAGTTGCCTTTGTGAGATCCTTTGGAGTCCTTGATACCATGTTAGTGCCAATGTATTGCCATTGGCCCTTTCTACAGAAGATTTTAGGTAAAGATACAGCATCCTTGGAGAAAGTCTCGAAGATCTAAATCCCTTACAAGGATAAAATTGTATGTGCTTAAACTACCAAGTACACAGCAGAAAGACTTGGCTACCCAGGCCACCTTTTCCAGCAACTACATCTAATCTTTCTTCTCTCTCTCCCACTGCATCCTGCCTGTAATGGTCTGATGCTCAGGGAAGCTTGCAGGTGCTTTTCTTGAAGCAGTAAAAGACTTTTTGAAGTTAAAATAAAAAAGATATTATGTATAGATTCAGATTGTGGTTTTAAAATAGAATACTGCAGGGAGGTATAAGCAGTCTCTTAGTCTGCCCATTAGTAAATTAATGACTTAGTGTGAGTCCTTTTCAACTGATGTATATCTAGAATTAATAGTTATATTATGTAGCATAACTTTTCTTGTATAATACTTTAAGTGCATTCTCAGTTTAAATATTCTGGCACTGTTGAGATGAGAAGAATATGATTCGAGTCCTGATCTCCCTTTCTTGCTACCTCTTGTTAGTAGAAACAATCACCATCTAGTGTGACACTCCGCTTTCCAGCCCTATTTTGACTAGGAGCAGCTACAGTTATTTTGGTCATGGAATCTTCTGTTTACATTACAAAGTATTCCTAGTCTATTTCTTTCTTTCTTTCTTTCTTTTTTTTTTGTTTTTGTTTTTTTGAGACAGGGTTTCTCTGTATAGCCCGGGCTGTCCTGGAACTCACTCTGTAGACCAGGCTGGCCTCGAACTCAGAAATCCGCCTGCCTCTGCCTCCCAAGTGCTGGGATTAAAGGCATGTGCCACCACTGCCTGACCCTAGTCTATTTCTTTCCTTTTTTCCTTCTTTCTTTCTCTCTCTTTCTTTCCTTCTTTCTTTCTCTCTTTCTCTCTCTCTCTTTCTTTCTTTCTTTCTTTCTTTCTTCCTTTCTTCCTTTCTTCCTTTCTTCCTTTCTTCCTTTCTTCCTTTCTTTGTTTTTGTTGTTGCTTTTTTGTTTTTGTTTTTGTTTTTTTGAGACAGGTTTCTCTGTGTGCCCTGGCTGTCCTGGAACTCACTCTGTAGACCAGGCTGGCCTCGAACTCAGAAATCCTTCAACATTGCGAACATCCATCTTGTATTTTGGCGTTTGGGCTCCACCCCTGATGTCTTCTTGGTTTTACTTCATGTCCTTGGAAGGCCACTTTCTTGCTTTATTTTGAGTCTTTATTTTTGTGTTCACTATGTCTTAAACTATTTACTGTCTCTTAGTCTTACTGGATAGTCTTTTCTCTTTTGAGCACTTCAGCTGCCTCTATTACTGAACCATGATCTGTATCTGTATCCCAGGTCTCTGGAGCTCTTTATTCATCTGTACCCTTTCTCTTTGCTTCTGAGTCTCATTGGCTCAAGCTCTTCATTTTCCAGTCTGAGACTGACTTCTCCTTCCCCAGGCTTTGTTGCTTTTGGGTTTTTCATACTTGAGTAAGTTAGAAACATACCCACTAGTATTGATTCTTCTATCTACCTTACTATGAGTTCGGAGGAACTGTCAGATCGGAAATGTGCAAGTTTCAGCTCATCCCGTATTCTTGGTTTGCTTGCAGCTGTGTTTCTGTTCCTTGACTTCCAGCTTCCAGTATGTACTCATCTCTGAGCAGAGATTTTATTTTCAAAACAGCAAGTGCTTTCTTGTCCGCGGAATGAGGATAATGGTGTCAGCCCAGCTCTGTGTCCGTCCTTAGTGCTGCAGTAGGAATGCTCCTTTTTTTCTGGCTCGGAGCTCATTATGTGTCCTTGTTTCCTGGCTTGTGGAACTTTTCCTATCTGTGGATTTGCAAGAGAATTTTTAAATGGGATGTTAGAAAGTAAGGCAGGCTTTATTCATTTCTTTAGTCATAGATGGATTCCACAGCCCTGCTGAAGCTGAGGGACTTCTATATTCAATGATAACCACACAAGACAGGCCCACAGACTGCATAGAAAGTACTTGGAGTCTCATCTTATTCAGGGAGGTTTAACTTGAACTTTGTTTCACTAGTCTCTATAACGTTCTTTTGTTGTTGTTGTTGATTAAATAATGGATTGCTTGGTCATTGAAGTGCTTACTGTGCAAACACAAGAACCTGTGTTCAGATCCCCAGTACCCATGTAAAAAGCTGGGCTTGGTGGGCTAACCTGTAATTCTATCACTGGGCAGGTAGAAAGAGAAGGATCCCCTGAGCTTGCTGGCCAGCTAGTCTGGATTCAATTAGGAAACTTTTCTCAAAACGTAGAGAGCAGTACAGGAAGATAACTGACATTAGCTTCTAAAACACACACACACACACACACACACACACACACACACACACTTCACTTAACCTATGCCAAGCACATTTACTATGTTTGTAGAGTTGTGTAGCCGTCAGCACAAGTCTGGAACACCTTTGCACCTAGAAAGAGAAGCAGAACCTTTGACTGTCTCTTCTCAGCCTACCTTCCAGCAGCTCCCGTCCTGCCTGATCATTTACCACCTCGTTTCTACCCATTTGTTCATTGTGCATGGAAACTAATGGACTCATACAAACATGTGCTTTTGTGGTTGCCTTCCTTCCTATAGGAGAATGTTGTTTTCAAGGCTCGCCCACTTGATGTCATGCTGTGATTGCCTGGCTTCTATTGCCATATCATTCTTGATTGGTTGGATAGGCCTAGTGTATCCATCCATTTGCCACTGGATGGACTTTGGCATCTCTTTTGGGACTGTTGTAAACATGCTGCCTTGAGCATCCCTGCATGCCTTTCTCATGGGTTTCATTTGTCTATTCTATTCAGTAGAATTGCTGGGTTATATGGTAACGTTCTGTCTAACCCCTGGTGCAGCTGTGATAGTCTTTTAAAACAGAAATGTGTATCATATCCTGTAGGACCGTGAAAGGCAGCCTGGTTTCTGGTCGAACACAGGCTAGAAACCAGGGGAGATCCCAGGTGATCCTGGGATGGCATGTGTTTCGCCATACTCCCAGACTCCAGGCTGCTGACAGGAGGCTGCAGCCCTTCATAGATTTGTGTCCTTTAGTCATGTAGGGCAATGCCCCTACTAGCCCCTCCACACGTAGAGGGCATAACTACAGGCCATGGAGCCTCAAGACAGATCTCCATATTAATGAGGTACCTAAGGCCAGAGGGGCATAGCCATTCCTTCTCAGACCCTCCTCCCTGCAAAGGATATTTAATCTTAGGCCCACCTTGAGATACTAAGGTACAGTTTCTCATCTACTTTCTGCCATGGCAATAAACATCTTAAGACCATGGACTATTTCTTTCCTTTGGGATCTGCTGTGGGGAACAGTGGAGCAGGCCTTCTCCTACAGAGCTCACCCCGCCCCCTTTCTAATCTCCTGGGGAAGTCCTCTCTGGGTTCCCAGCCACAGATACCACCTACACAAGCCAGCCAAGTGAGCTGCCACGACCAAACCAAGAACTCTCTTCCCCGTGCGGCACAGCCAGAGCTTCTCTCCCTTTCTCTCCCCTTCGGCGGCCGTGGGCCAATCCACTTGTTCTCCGCCCCAGCTGCGTCTTGAGGCCCAAGAGCCTGAAAACCAGCTGGTCCCCAGCCGCCTTTTGGTCAGGATGCCCCACCCCCTCCCCCCCACCCCCTCCCCAACTCTGGCAGTCCCAGGCACCCCAGACTGCAGGGTCCCATGGCTTCCCAGCGCTGGCATGAGAATACAGTTAAATTTCCCGCCTCTGTCTCCCCAAGTGGCCCTAGCCCTGTGCCGGGACAGACACGGGACACACTTTAACCCAACAACTGGTCTGAGAGACACATTGACCAACAAATCCCTTTGCTCCATCAGTGTCTCCGGGTTTCAGTGTCTGCACATGTACACTAGCAGTTGACTCTTCCCTCTGCAAACCTGGGTTTCCCTTCTATTTGATGTTTTACCTAGCTTGCTTCTTTCTATAGTAAAGAGCGTGTTGAAAGTCCCAGCTGGGCTTGTTGAACAGCCTATCGTGGGAATTCTCAACACATTACAGAATCATTTTATATCGAAGACAGGAAAATATATTTCTTTCACGTTTTGCTTGAAATGTCTGAATATTGAAGGTGGGTGAGGCTAGAGTCTTTGAAAAATAGCTGCATGGGTTAACGTCCCTTCTTAATTCTATGCAGCTGTTGAAGCTGCTCTTCCTGCCCGTAACCTTTCAGTCTGCCTGATTTGTTGGATGTATGACACTGCATGTTTCTAGTCTTTGTGACTTTGAATGTATACATTCACCACCTCCACCCACCTCTAAATCCAAGTAGTTCTGGTCTGAGGTTTTTTTTGAAAATTTAAAATGGCTGTTGTAAATTGTCTCATATCAAGCTAAGGGACTAGCACCTGTGTCATGGTCGGAAGCTCAACTAGCCAACACTCCTGTAGTGGTGTTTTTCTAAATGTAATGGAGTGCGGAGTATTTTATGAGCGTTTTTGACGTTTTGTAGCTTAATTCCCTAAATAAGACTGAACTACAATAAACTTTAAAGCAAATTAAAGGTTTAAATCGTGCTTAACTTTCTCTTAATTTGTTGAGATTATTATGTTTCTATTCGTTTTAGTCCTTTAGGCTGTTATGATCTGGACTTTTATTTTGGCTTGTTAATAAGTAGATACAAATGTCTTTTTAAATTTTAGACCAAACTGCAGTGGCTGTGTGAGGAACTGAAAGAGAGAGAGAGCAGAGAGAAGACCTTGCGGCAGCAGCTGATGGCCTGTAGACAGGAGCTCAGGGAGCTGACGGAGCACAAGGAGTCTGAGCTCCTGTGTCTGTTTGAGCACATTGAGAGGCAGGAGCAGCTTCTGGAGGAGTTCCACCAGGAGAAGAGAGGTGGGTCCATCCTGTTCCCTCTCTTCTTCCCCTGCCTTCACGAGATGGTGGGGCTAGAGTAAACCTACTGGACTTCTTCAGTAAGGACTTCTTCTATATTGTTTTCTTTCCTTGCCTCTTCTGCTCTTTCTTCATTGCTGAGACTATCAGAGATAACTGTTGAGTCCTGAGAAACTTCTTGTGGCCACAGTGTCCTCTTTTGGGCCTTGCTATATATGTATGGGATGTGTGTATGTATTGACCTGGTAAGTCATTCTCTTCTCCTATGATAAAAAGTATTTGTTCAACAAGTATTAGAGAATTAGAGAATCTCTCCGTGGTGGTTAGAATACACCAATGTATAGAGCAAAGGAAACAGTCCTTTGTCCAGCTATGCTACACTGGCTGTGGTGGCAGAGAATGAACACAGTAAGTAAATGAATGCATATTACACCATGTAAGGTCACTCATGTAAGCGATGGCTTAAGAAAGGCTGAATTTGGAAGAATGATGGCAGCATCAAATGTCACACCAATGACTTAGAAAAAAGTACAGTATAGTAGCTACATCATAACAGGAAACAGGACATGATGTCCAAGAGCCTGTGAGGTCAGGTTCTATTGTCCTTGAGTAAACATCTTCTTGCTTTATTGATGAACTTTATTAAGAATCACAGACAGATTATTGTAGTATTCCCTTCAGAAAACCTGAAACTTAACACAGGACAGTCCTTGTTCAGATATGCATGAAAAGATTCAGTGCTAAAGGAGAAATCATGTCTTAATGGTGTTATTGTGGAGACCTGCATCCAGGCCATGCTCAGAGAACTGTTGCTCCAGGCCAGTTGAATACTGTTCGCTGTGGGCACTGGAGATGTCAAGGATGTGGTTTTCCTTTTTTAGTGGCAGTACAGTAGCACTTGGCTATGGAAGCTGGAGATCAAAGCTGTATGAATTTTCTGTACTTTATGTGATACTCCCTAGTTAACACTAGAGTACAACTCAGCTTTAGTATCAGTACATAGTATTTGTCCCTGTGATCATTTTTTTTATATTAGGATTAATGTGTATCCAAAACCCCAAAAAGTAAATGTTTGTACATACAGCTTTAAAAGGAAAACCACTGCTAAGATAGGAAGAAGGGGAATATTTCATAGCCTATGAGAAAGACTTTTGTCAGAGAGGCAATTTTTCAGTTTGTTTTTAGTCAATGTCTGTTAATCAACCTAGTGGCAGGTACTAGAGGAAATAAACACCATCTACTTTTGTGTGTGTGTGTGTGTGTGTGTGTGTGTGTGTGTGTGTGTGTGTATGTTCAGCTCAAATGACTGAGAGTTTTGTCTCAGCTGTAGTGGCTGCAGTTGGGACAAGCGTCTAAACAAGTCCTTGCCCAGATGACTCATCTTTCTTGTCTCAGTGAATATCCAGCAGATACAGTTAAGAAATCTAAGGGGTGGATAATGTACCCATTGGCCTGTGGATACTTGAAAACATGGAGGTTTTAGGAAGGAGGCGGTTTGTAAGTGTTTATTTAATGCTGTACTTCCAGTGCTTAAAGCACAGAATAGTAGGCATGTCAAGTATTTTCAGTCAGGAGATGGACAAGGAAGTGAATGAAAGCATTGTTAGAGCTGGTATGATATCAGTGTTTAGTGAAAGAAAAATTATAATTAAAAAGAAGCATAATTGTCATATTTTAGATTTTCAAAGGGATGATATCTGGCTATTGACCCAAATTTCTTTCCATTTTGGAATTTCCTTGAGTATTTGTTAAACAGTCCAGTCATGGAGGATGCATCCCGGTAATCCGAACAGCATGGCTTCCATTTCTCTAGTGACTCTCTGGAATAGGTGAATGTCTGTCTTCCCTGGTATTTCAGTTCTCTGTTCCATCCTACAGTAATCTTAGTCATGTGATTAATTTTCTTTTCTCTGTGACAATATTCTATAAGAGATTCCTGACTTGTTGGGGGCTCACTATAATATTGATAGTTGCATTTATAGACTATTTTGTTTTATGAGTTGAGTTGCCTTCCTGGTGTAACATGAAAAATTTCAAAATACCTAAAGGATAGAAGTGCAAGCAATTTTAAAACTGTATAGATGTTTTAAATGATCTTAGTTCCTGAAAGCCAAATGGCTTTAGACTGCTATATTTGCTGAATTTACAAGCATAGACAACTTCAGTGTAAATATAAGTGACTGGAAGAAGTCATGGGTATAAAGGTTAAAGGTAACTGGGAGTATGGGAAGAGTGGGTAAGATCAAACGTAAAGGCGTAAACGTAAAGGGAAATGATTCTTAAAAAAACAAGGTTAAAGGAGCTCTAAACTTTTTTTCATGTTCCTCTTAGCACTTTGAACATGCTGTTCTTTTAGGCAGACTGACTTATGACAATAATGTGTACAGTGTTTTCTTTATTTTGACCATTAGCTTGTCAGGATTTGTGACTTGGACTAAATGATCTTGACTTTGTATAAGCTTAAAGAAAGGACTAATGTGTACACCTTCTGAAACAGGCAGTGGAGAATAGCAGAACGATCTGTTGTAGAAAATGATGGAAGGAATGGTCACTGGATTTCCCCTCAGGATACTACACACACACACACACACACACACACATACACACTACCTCTACCTTTTTCTGGAGATAGTGTCTCACTATGTAGCCATGTGTAGCCTAGAACTCTGGCCTGTAGACCCAGCCTGCCTCTTATCATTCTTAATAATGAATCTAGACTATGATTTACTAATTATTTGGCATTTATATGTAGCTTGACAGTGAATTACACTATAGAAAGACAATCTATTTTTTAATTTTCATTGTTTTAGGGCTGATACATTGTTTAAAGCATTGCTTTACAAAGCACTCAATTTACAGAATTTCATGTCTACCTACCTTTGTATATAAATGGTAAGCTCAGGTTTTGGTAATTTTTTTCTTTGTTTGTTTGCTTTTCAGGTCTTTGCTTCTCTCTCCCTTCTCTTCTGAGCTGAGTTCTATGTGAGATTTTTCTGTGCTATTTCTGAAATTGATCTTTGATAGCTGAACAGAAGATAATTTCCTAGAATTCAGTTTTGGGACAGAGACTAAGGAAAGGCCCACCAGTTATAGGCATTTTCTTTATTACATAAAGTAGCAGTGAAAAACCTTTTGAGTTTTCCTTGTACATTAGTAGTTGGCTATCCAGCCACACTCACCCATTTTTGTTATTTGCCAAATTATATCAGTTTTTCCAAATTGTCTTACTTAAAGAAAAAAGCATTATATGCCACTTGTAGAAGTAGTAGTCATTGTTGCTTAGTCCAAAGATAAAGGAAGAAGCATTTTTCTTATTTCATTGTGGAGTGTAATGTTTAGAAACTGAAGTAATTTAAAAGATACCTTTTAATATCAAATTACTCATTTGTTTAGATTATTGTTACTTAACATGTATTACATTTGATTTTTTCTTTTTCATTTTGGATTACCACCTTGTTTAAACATTCAGTGCTGCTGATTATTAGAAACAGTGAAAAATTATTTTAAATAATGAATTGAAAATATTTTTAAACTAATGATTAAAGTCTAATAATAGGAGTTTGGCTATTCTTCGTTGTAGATTAAATTCTGATTAACATTCCTTATAAGACATGATTGCTTAAGCTAACTAAATCATGAAGTTTAAAAATTGAACTAAATATTTGAAAATACAGGGTGGTGATAATGTATATAAAAATCATTTTGTCTTTTAATTATGGAATTTAGGTTGGAAACTTCTCTTAAATTGTCAATTGACACTTTTTCTTAAGAGCATTTAAACTCTTCTTATACTTAGGACATGGTTGTCCTTGCTTCTTTGTTTATTGAAGTCTTTAAGCAGCAGTTCTGAGCCTGTGGGGTTTACCTCCTTTGTGGGTTGCATATCAGAGAGTCCTGCATGTCAGATATTTATATTACATAGCTAGTCTTTGATGCTTTGTGGATTCTTCTTTTTTCCACTCTTTACCCTCCTAATACTTGATAGGAGAGAACACAGCAGCCGGCAGCAGCAGCAGAGACACCAGAGAGGAAGGGAGAGAGGGAGGGAGGGAGAGAGGGAGGGAGGGAGAGAGAGAGAGAGAGAGAGAGAGAGAGAGAGAGAGAGAGAGAGAGAGAGAGAGAGAGATCCCTGAATCTAATTTCTTTTGTTTTGTTTCTTGTCTGACCATGGCTAATAACAAACTGAAATCAATCTCCCTAAATGATCAGCAGCCACCTACTATGCCCCAGACTTCCAAGTGTCACACAGTCACACAGAAATTATCTGTGGCTGGGAAAATCATGCTTCTGCTAGAGCATGAGGCATATCATAGTCAGCTGATGCAGTCAGAAGCAGCCCTGCATCCTTACCCTGAGTTAAAAATGAAAGCTTATTCTAATAATATTTGTGTTTTTTAAAGAAACCAAAATTCCAGAATTCTTAAAAATATCACTATAACATTATAATTCATAACAGTAGTAAGATTACAGTATGAAGTTTCAACAAAATAATTTTATGGTTGGGGGTCACCACAGCATGAGGAACTGTATTAAAGGACTGCAGCATTAGGGCAGTTGAGAACCACTGCTTTAATGGATTATGATGTCCATTCATGTTGGGAGCAGCAATCTGCTTTGCTCAACTGTTGATTCCAATGCTAACTGGGTCCAGAAACTGTTGATTCCAATGCTAACTGGTCCTCACAAAGACTCACAAAATAACACTTCATTGTTTGGAGGTCAAGGATGGCATCAGGTCTCCTGGAGCTGGAATTCCAGGAGCTTATTAGTTGCCAGTTGTTGCTGCCTCCCCTTGAACTCTAGTTCTGTGGAAGAGCAGGAGGCACTGTTGACTACTGAGCCATCACCCCAGTCACTGGCTTAGCAATTTTGATTCTGTTTTTGGAAACTACAATAGCCAACAATAGAGAGAATCTTTTCCTTTTGTTTTGCTGGAGTATAGTTTTTTTTTTATTTTACTTTTTATATTTATTTATTTATTTGTTTGTGAGTTTCACATC